GGAGAGGAGGGCCCTGCCCGCGGCCGTGCTGGAGGCGCTGCGCCCGGCCCCGCCCCACAGGTGAGCAGAGGGGGGAGGGGCTGAGGCTGTGGTCTTGCTCCCAGGCAGGTGGGCGGGGGGCTCTTGGAGGAAAGGGGCATTGGTGGAGCAAGGGGCTGGGCCCCTGAACTGGAGCCACCAGAACCTGACCTGCTGGAGGTTGCAAGCATTGGTGTCTGGGGCTGTTGCCCTGGGTGTGCCAGAAATGAGGCAGATCCCCCCCGCCCCCCCTAGTCCAAGGAAGAGGCAGCCTGAAGCATCAGTTGCCTTGGGGAGAAACTTGGGCTCTGGGGGTGACCCCACATTTGGGCTTGTGACCTAGGTATTGAGAGAGAACCTAGGGTCAGTTTTCTGGGCTCTGGGCCTGAGGACCACCAACAGGCATGATGGTTCAAAGGTCTTGATTTGCTTGGGCAAAAAGGGCCTGCTACGAGCTGCTACGAGCTGCTGCTGGTAGAGCCGGGTGCGCCCCCCTTGGTGCAGGGCAGGGGGATGTCACTGCCAGCTGGAAGAAGCTCCCTGCTGTCACCCAGCAGTAGGTGCAGGCTTTCTGTGGGCTGTAACCACTGCCTTCCCAGGCAGCATGCGCCGTGCTAGCACAGCAGCTGCGTGGAACATGTAGATGTGCCCTTGCTCTGGGTCTTGGTGGTGATGTCGGCTGGGGTCTGCTGCCCGAAATAGCAGCAGAGCAAGGTAATTGCAGACTGGGGGTGGACAACCCTCAGGTGCCACAAGGGGTACACAATCGCAGGTGCCACAAGGGGTACAGGCAGCTCGTGTATGTGACATTTGGCAGGTAGGAGTGGGGACTGGCAGCGCAGCACCACATGGGGCAGGGAGCAGAAAGGAGAGCCACAAATCTGGCAGGGAGAACAGGGGAGGAAGCAACAGATCAGCCTGGAAGCACAAGGCAGGGAGCAGAAAGAGCAGCAGGTTGGGCCAGGGAAGGGGGTTGCAGCAGTATCTGGGAAGGATGCAGGGTTAATTTGCAGCATGTCTGCCTAAATGTTTTTCCCTAGTGCTGTGGACAAAGGCATAGACTTGCGTGGTCTCTAGAATGGCTGGGGGGGGGTATCTTTCTAAGCTTAAAACAACTTTTCTAAGCAATTTCCACATTTCCTTCTTAGTGAAAACCAAGAGTCGGACTTGACTAATGAAGGTAAGTTGCAACATTCTGCTTGACATTCAGTGCCTCTGGGGTTGTATTAGGTCTATATTGTTAGACCTGGTGGCAAGGAGCTTCTTTGGGAAAGCCAACCTCCAGGACAGCAAAATTGGATCTCCACTAATGCTCTGTTGCCAGCTAGGAGACAACTCAGCCTGCTGATGGTGTTAGCACTGATTCCTGTCCTTCGTTTGAAGAGGCTGGCTATGCAGCTGCTTGATTTAAAAGGTTCCATGTGTCTCAAGGAGGAGCTTGTACTGCTCCTGCTTAGGTGAAGTGGCGCTGATTTGTAGTTTGTAAACAAACATTCTCCTAATATAACATGCCTTTATAAATGCACTGCCTTGATTTTTGGAGCAGGAAGCCTGTGATCCTATTGGTTGTACCACATGTGAGTGGCACTGGGGTAGGGGTTGGGGAATGGATGTGAAATGTTTTCAGCCCATCAACTGTGAAAACAAAATCCAGGGCCTCTGCAATCCCAGGAATATTTATAATCTAGTTTGGATCTTTAATTCTCTAAAAATTAAAGAGGATGACCATGTGCTAAACCTCTTTGGACTAAACTTACCTCCTTTCTCTTTTTCTTGCTCTCTCTTTTTTTTTTTTTTAACTGTATTAAAGGATAGCCCTGCTTATGGCTTCATTTCTTACTTAACTACAGCAAATTTGTATACTGATCCAGGGAGAGAGTTTGCACATTCTGTGACCAAGCCATAACATCTCTCCTTCTTGTTACGTGATTTTACATGGCTGCTGCAAAGTTAAATTAATCTCTTTTCCCTGCACAATTGTAGCCTCTCTCAAGGCAGCAGATATATTAGGACTTTTGAGTTGCTACTTCTAAAAATGCCTGTTTGGTTCAACTAAGGACCTGGGGTTTTTTGTTTTGCTTGTCCATTGTTGTTGCCACCCCTCCCCCACCCCCTGCCACCAAGAACTGGTACGGTCAGTTTTACTTTTTCATTTTGTACCTTTTACCTACCTACAGGTTGACAGCAATGTGTGGATGTAACTTCTTTACATTTTTTATATTTAAATATCTGTTTAGGCAGAAAAGAAGATGGGTCTGACAATGGGATTGAAGAGTGTGCCCCAGGAGAGGACAGTAAAGATGAAACAGTGACCACTGGGTATGGTGTTAAGTAGTTTTTTTTTCTGTGTAGAAAAGCTCTTGGGACTAAAATCATTAAAAGAGAAACCCTTCACTTTACTTCTATCCAGCAATCTTTATCCAGTACTTCACATCTTACTTGGGGTCAGATTATCCTTGGTGACAGCAACAGAAAAGCTTCTGTTGTATTTGTGTGGACTTTTGGCATCTTGTTTCTTATTCCTGGATTCCTGTGTGCACTCAGTCATTGCTTTCCTCCTTCAGCCCATGAATGCCAGCAAAGGCCCCCTTTGACATAACGGCAAGGTCTCATCTCCTGTAAATGCGAACAATTCTTCATTTTCAACCCCTGGAGAAACATAGGCCTGAAGATCTGGAATCTGTGTACGGAGTCCTTAGATCATTTTAAGGAGAAAAAATGAGGATGGCTGCAAGGGAGCTAAGGCTCCGAGTGGGTGCATAAGCGTTAGCAGCTGTGTGAACCAGAGCACCGAAGGGTGCAGACTGTAATGGAGGGAAAAAATCTTTGAAAGAAAAGAGAATCCCACAGAATATGTGAAATTCTGAAAATGCAGTCTCAGTATGGTACTGGTGACCTGGGTCAGAAAGTGGATTACTATATTTTCTTGCACATAGCCCACATCTCTGTTCCTCCAAAACTACCTGGTGAAAATGCAGGTGCGTATTGTAGGCAAGAGAGGATTCCCATGGGTCTGAAAATGTGGAGACGTTGGCAACATTAACTGCCATGGCTGCACCTCTCCTGCCACCAACATGCTAGATGCAGGATCAGACTTGATTTGTGGCCCCAGACCTGGTGCGCAGGGTCAGCCCTGCCATGCAGCCCCAGACTCAGTGTGCAGGGCTGGCAGCAGGATCAGTCGCAGTTCCCTAGCTGCTGCTACTCAATCTGCTACTTAGACTTTTTTCCCCTTAAGCTGCTTTCTGAAATCAAGGTGCATATTAATATACAAGGATGTGCCGTATGCAAGAAAATAGAGTTATCTTGGCTGCAATGGACTTCCAAAGTGATTCTGTAAATGCATAAGACTCATTTTCTGCCATCTCAATCTAAATGAAGAGATGCACATGTAGGCAAATTATTAATATAAGCTTTAACATGAAATAACAAAACAAAATATTTCTAGCAAATGAAGCTGAACAATATTGTTACAGCGCTGGCATTTGGTTTAGAAACCACTGAAAATATTGATTGTGCAAACAAAATATTGGTTGCTACATATACTATTTGGGGCTTGAAAATAAGCTTTGGTTTTGTGTTTTTCTTTTAACCTTTTATTGAACTAGGTTGAAGGAAGGCTATTCAGCTGTGTGCTTAAAAGGCCAGGATCTAACTAGCTGGCACCAACAAAAAGCTAAAGACTTCATACAGAATCATCTCTATGGACCAGGCACCAGCCGAACAACTGGTAATGAGACTCCTTTTGGTCTGATTCTGGCTGTTCTTAATTGACCTCTACTTACAAACTGAGCAGCTCCCTTTTTCTGTTCCATTTCAGCAAACCAGTTCTTCTCTCTTGCAAACAAGAGAAGTCAGGTGAAAAAAGCTGCAATTCAGTTTGTGAAGAAATCCTGGGGTAAGTGCACTATGCTTCAGTCATGTTGCTAGTTCCTCATCTATTTCTGCTGTTTTGGTTTTGAGTAAATCTAGTTTTATGTGCAAACAGGTGGTAAGGTAGAACCATTTACCTTACAGCAAATCTTTGTAAAATCTGACCTGAATTAGTGCTACTGCAACTGTAGATGACTTGTTAATGTCCTGATGTGTATATACAAGGTATGGATTCTAGTCGCCACTATGAAGTGTGCTATATTATGAATCTGTATCAGATATCTCTTGAGGGCATATTCACTTTGCTGATGGGGCCTGCAAGACCAGGGTAAATGGAGAACCTTTAACTTGAATTGCTGTATTTTTGGACAGATAAAGATGCCAGGGGGCAGTTATCTTTTGCTTTTTCCCACCTGAAAATCAGCAATCAAATAATAAAAACCTGTCAAAGGAGTTTGGAAATGACTGGCCAGGATACAGCTGGCGGGAGAGAGAGATATGAAATGCTGGGCAAAGTTTCATAGCAGGGAGAAAAGATCAATGATGAGCTGCCTCTGAAGAGATATGAGCCCCAAAAGGCTTACGGGGAGAGATGCTGAAGGATGCTTGCATTCAAGAAGTTGCCTAAGGCACTGGGGTTTTTTCATGCTTTAAGGATAAGAACTGGCATGTACACTGTTTTTTTTACACTTTCATGTTGCCTGTGAAGAGTTGAAATAAATGCGCTTATTCAGCCCTGTAAAACAAGCAGGCTATGGTGGCCCTCTCCAAATGCAGCCAAGAGCAGAACTATTTAAGCTGTTGGATGAAGCTACCAAAAGAACAAATGAATATAAACCGGCCACAAATGAACTTAGGCTGAAAAAGCAATTTCTAACTGTCTGAGGCACAAAACAGTCCACCAGCGAGAGTAACGAAGCATGAGAACTAGTTTTAAGATGGTGTGTGATTTGTTTATGAAATGGGCTATAATGTGTCGTTGCTTGCGATAGTGTGGACCTGTGAAGAGCCTTTTAGTGAGATTCTGGGGTTGGGGAGTCTGTATCGGTCATCTGGAACAGGCAGTTGACCCAGGCTTCTGCCTATCAGGAGTGGGCAGATAGAGGGTCTATACCCTGAGCTTATACTTAGAGAGCTCAAGAGAATGCCTGGACTGTGGTCAGATTCCAGCAGCCTATACACCAGCCCCCACCCCCCAACAGCCTGGGCAAGAGTGAACATGCCCATCTCAGACTTAAAGTCCATAGGCATATACAAAAGACCCTGCAAAAGTATTGTTTGCCTTTTACCTGGAACACCACTTGTATGATATTACTCCAGCATTTAATGCATGAGTGTAAGTGCCTAGAATTATTCCCTTTTGAAACATTTCATTCATCAAAATTTAGACAGGAGTAATGATTATTTCAAACTAAAACGTTCAAAAATTAGTGCCTAAAGTGGACCTCAGGACCTAACTTTGAACTCATACTACTTTTAGTCAACAAATGCTGACACAGGAGTATAAATTAATTCAAGTATTCCCCTCTGCTTGATTTATGTCAATTTAATATAGCAGAAAAAGTAGTGTTCTGAGACCACAGAATTTATGAGCCAACTGGGAATGAATAAGGCCCTGAATTTGTCTTCTGAAATAGGCAGGGATTTCCAGGTGAACATAGAATGTTGTGCAGTAAGAAAAAACTGTTACAACAGCTAGCAAATGAGGACAAAAACTACTCAGACATTTAACACTAGACAAGCAGCTTGCTCTTTATCCATAGTGATAGATGAGGTAAGATACACTTTTATATAGCCTAACCTAACTGAGGACAGAATGGCTTAGGAGTAGGTGTTAAAACAATAACAGAAGCTGTATCGGTGCCATATTTTATTCTAGGCATGTTGTATACAAGCAAATATGTACCTTGTTTTGAAAGGCAGACAGTTACTTATTCCAAAGAGAAATCTTCTGAGTAGCAGTAGGTAGGGAGCTGAGCCTGCTCATTGTTCTGCCCCATGTAAGCTGCATGCAGATTTTGCCTTACCAGCAAAAGCCAAAATAGAAATATGCTAAAGAGTTTCTTACATAACACACTGCAATTTCCAGCTGCTGGTTTTAAGGAAAGAGGTGTGCACTGTATGCAAGAGAATATGGCATAACAGTATTGGTCATTGAGTGATTTGAGTTGCTAGTGAAATAGAGGAACCTACTAAAAGACAAACTCCTTACAAAGAACAGGCAAGTATTTTCTTGCTCTGTTTAGAGACTGTTTTCAAATACACAACAGCAAATGTCATAACTTGGCTATGCATGAAGGTGATGGCTGAACACTGTTCATCCTCATGCTCCATTTTGTCATCTTTCAGGAGCAGAAAAAAAACAAAGAGCCCAGCGGTTCAAAAAACACCGGATTTCAAAATTGGAAACTGCAACATGAAACAGGAAGTGCTGGCTTCATTTAAAGTGAAAGCCTTCAAGAAACCTTTGGAAACTTGTCTATTATTTGCTAGGAACCCTGTTGACATCAATAAAATATTAGTGTTGTACAGTTGCATTCTTTCTTTTGTTGCTTTTGCAATGAAGGATGTCTGCCTTGAAGATTAATGGACACATCCAGTAGAAGCAACCTCAGCCAGTGACTGACATATTGCAATTCCCTGTTGCACACAGTATGGAGAAGCAAAAGTTAGAAGCCAAAATGTGCGTTGACACTGACACCACTGTTAACACACGGTGTATTCCTTTGTGCATTAAAAAAGGAAGTGTTTACATTGTTTTTTGTAACAAATGTCTGAAATAATCATCTTTATCTGGTTGCATTTCACTTGGATACTTGTTAAAAAGTGGGGTTATCTGAAAAATGCACCTGCCACTATAAGCTGGTGTGTTCTGGGTTGAGGGTCTTGTTTAAGTTGGGGGGGCAGGTTTTCAACCAGGATACAGACTGTGTTGTCCTAACCAGCAACTTGAAGCTGCTCTGAGAACTGCAACTATACAGTTTTCTCTGTTACTTCGAGAGTCTTCTCTGTTCCAGCACAGCCTAGAAGTCCAGAGGCAGAAAGATTAAAGGAGCTTTACTTCCAGGTATCTTCAACCACAGGAGCAAGAGTAGAGATAATCAAAAGATAAGGAAGTAGTAAACTCTTCAGTCATAACTGCTTTTATAGATGGGATTATTTTACATATAGACTGACCATACGGAAATTCCAAATACCCAGGATGTGTTCCCTGCCCTGTCCTCCCCAGGCTCAAGCCAGTGGGGGCAAGGCTGCAGGGAGTGATGCCTGCCTGCCTACCTACCTGCAAGGCACTCCATCATGCTCCAACTCCCAGCCAGACTGTGCCCCATGCCCCTAACGCTGCTGGAGACCCCATTCCCTCCCATAATTCAAACCCTGGCACCAGTTATGCAAGAACAGCCACATGTAAAACCAACTTCTAGTATCCAGAAGGGATGTGAAAGAGTAAGTTAAGTTTCTGGTCCCAGTCAGACCACTGCTTTCAACCTCAAAACAGACTGACTTAATTTCCTTTCAGTATCAGTTTGATCTGGAGCTTGACCCCCATCTTCTCACCAATTTTTAACTCTTCTGGCTGTTTAAGATGGCTTATGCCTCCCACACTCCAGTTTTTAACAGATCTCTGTTAACATGCCCTGCCGTCATCTCTGACCTTTAGTGTGAGTGCTTATTTAGAGAACTGCAAAGATTTTTCAGTGAGAACTTTTGTCCATCAATCACAGCCAGAAGCAGCCCAGCTTGTCCAAACAAAAAACACTTGGAAGCAGGCAGTATTTTGTTCACTAGAAAGCAACTTTTGCTTGATCTAAGTGATGTATTAAAATGAGCTAGAAGTTAATGCTAATTTGTTTTCAAGATAGAACAAAATAGAAGGTAATGTAGCATACGAAGCCATGCTACAAATATATATTTCTATATATAAGTAGAAGTAAGTTTTTAATGACTAATTATGATATCACTACGTTTTATTGCAATATAGTACTATTTAAGCACTTTTAAAAATGCAAGGTGTACAAAGATTAAATTAAGACTGTAAATTGACTAAATATTTGGTTTTTATATAAATAGGTCATAACCACACTGTGCTGACATGTAATACTGTTATAATACAACAGTTAAACTGGTGAGTCTACAACAGAAGCTTTCTGTAGTTAAACAAGGAAACAGAGTTGAAAAACCATGTTAAAACAAAAACTACTAAGATCAACAGGTTGGGATTGTAAGTAGCAACAAACATATTCACTCAGCTCCTGAGTATTTCAAGTTTTACAGTACACATTAAAAAATATTTCTTCCCATCAACACTATATATCCAAACCATCAGATGTTTATGCATTTTGCAAATTACACTGATTGAACTATGTAATAATGGGGGTGGAGGCTGGCAAGTCATCTTGCTTGACGTTTACACCCACATGCTAATACATCCACAACATTTTCTAGTCTTCTGCCCCACTGCAAAGCAGTAGGATTTTTGGTTTGTTTTGGACAATCATGTAAAGGGTTTGTAATTGACAATCTGGATGTCTGATGTTAAAATCCATGAAATTTAACTCTTAGTTCTCTAAGAGGTTTAAAGATGGAAATTTTCTCCTAACACTAAGTTAGAAATCATTTGCATCATGCTGTAAACTAGGAAGCAACGTAAAGCGACAGACCTCTCCTTAGTACATAATTAAAAATCCAAATTCCAGTCCGCAGAGCTGGTCTACTTCCACGTTGAATATTCACCACAATAAGTTTCCGATCTTCAAATGCATAGCTAATGTAAATAGTCTTCCACTGTGGCAAATGCACAGGATCCAATTCCTGATCGGGCCATCAGTCCTAGACACTGTGAAGCCTGTCCCATTGCTAGGGCAAGTGGTGGTTGCTTTGGCAGATTGTGGGTCTCTGAAAAAAAAGATTTGTACATAAAGAGTTGAAGCAGGTGACTATATTCTTGAAATAAGGGGCCTGAAAAACATACGTTTAGAGCAGGCAACTCCTGACACGTGCGCCAAAGCGTAGCATGCAAAGGCATTTTGCTTGGCACTCAGAGAAAGTTGTGGCAGCACAGCCCCTGCCCAAGGATCAGACCCCTCACAGCTCCCGTCATGCCAACATCTTGCAAGTCAAGGTTGCAGGTGTTTTTGGTGCTCTGCCCAAAAATGTTGCCCACCCCTGGTCTACAGTTTGAACGTTCTTTAAACTATCTTCCCTTTGAAGCACCCAGAATCTGTTGGCGTTGGAGATGGGACTGAGTACCAAGAATGAAACCGACATCACTGGAACAGATCACCGATCCATCTAGTTTTGTCGTGGTCCCTTCAGCTATGTACCATCCTAAGCTTCCAAAACTAATAGATTAGGCAAGTTTTGTATGCACACCAATTAAAATGACCTAAAAATTCACCCCAATTAATTTTGAAAGACAAAAAGTACAAGATTAATTTCCAGGTTTAAGTAGTTGGAGAAAAAGACACCACTGAAAGTGACTATTTTGACAACTACGGTTTTCTCTCTCACGCACACAATTTAATCACAGAAAATGGGGCTGGAGGTAACAAGTCATTCAGTCCAGCTGCTTACTCAAGGCTGCAGCATCCCTGCCTAAGGCATCTTGGACAAGTTTTTGCCCAGCCTACAAGTAAGCTTCCAGTGATGGAGGTTCTAGTCTCTAGGTCAGTGATTTTCAACCAGGGTGTGAATGCACCCTGTGATGCCTCGTGACCCTTTCAGGGGTAGTGCAGTGGTCTTTGAGTTCTTTGCAAAAGACAAATTGCTGTATTTTTGTACAGTGAAAGACAAAGGAAAAAACAACTGAAAACTAAAAGCTGGCATTTTCTGAGGAGTGCCTTGAGTCTAAGAAGGTTAAGAACCACTGCTCTAGGTATCCTATTGCTCCAGGTGCTGAACCAGCCTTATAGTTAGGAAGTTCTTTCTGTAGTCTAACCTAAGCACCAGGACAGCTGTAGTATCTCAAGTGCTTCAAACCCCTTGCAGTGACATACATGCCCTCTGAAGCACTTCAAAAATGAACCTGTAGGAAGTGATTGCTATTTAGAAGTGCTTCAAAAAGGGAAGCATTTCCTGTTACATGTGCACATGCTGCAGTATAACAGGTGAGGGATCGGTCCTCCAGCATCCCATTGTGCTCTGCTCTCTCTGCCCCTTCCCTCAAGTAAAAATTCTTATATGTGCTCCAGTCTCCCAGAGCACTTGTACACATGCACTCTTGCTCCCCACTGGAAAGGGAGAAGGGCAATTACAAAAGAAGTCACTGATGGTCTGCTCTGCTTTATATTTGAAACAATTAACCTCCTGGACCCTCCTTTGTGTACGGTTCCTGATAGGTCTCATTTGCAATTAATTTTGCCATTAAATTCTGCCACGTTACCAGTAAATGGTTCCTCCAACAGGTTTTTTCACATAGATACAACATTACAGCACCACACTAATAGCCGGAAACAAGTTGAATTCAGTGATGAGGAAGAACATATCCAGTACTGTCTCATCAGAGCTGCACTCGTATGAAGAATGAGAAGACATTCAGACTCCAACAGCATGAGTCTATCATGAGCCACTACTCTTTTACCTTCTGCTGTTTCTTTTCTAGAGCTCTGTCTGCAGGTTCACTTAGTCTGCACTTTGAGTTGTCAATATGCCACTTCACATTAGTCTTTCAAAGAATCAAATTTACAGATTTTGTGTTGGTTTATTTCAGTTCCTTCTATTAACAGAGAAGTCACTTAGCTGTAAGGGCTGCAGAAGAGCTAGTCCTTTGCAATGAGTCTTGGAAATGCACACACCTAAATAAACATGTTAGTACAAAGCCAGGAAGCCTTACCTAGTATTGCACTATTAAGAACAGAGCACACAGGTTCTCTCTGAATTGGATCAAGCTGGTTCCCAACTGGACTGCTCCACGGATCCGAGTATGCAAGTAAACTGAAGGCATCCTGTTGAAAGATTACTGTTCAGTGGTTTGTGTTTCAAGTTCCCTCCTAGTACAAACTAAGGCTAATTATCTTCCCTTCTTTTTGATCTAGAACTGGATTTGAAGAAAGTGTTATTTTGGCTGCGTAAAAAGATGACAGTATTGAAAGCAAACGATGGCAGGAGTGTAGAAAAGGTTAAAACTTTACACTAGAAAGAAAGAAGCTATTTGATCTGCAGTGGGCAAGCTAGCTAAGCTGGTTAAGTAGACTCCATAATGGATCTTCAGAAGTCACATGTAACCAGTTCCTCCATTCATTTAGGGTTTGTTTTTTTTAAAGACATCTCTTCCCCCCTCCCCCCAAATGCCTAATGCTCTCTACCTATCCAAAGAGCATTGATACTTAAATCATACTCTTCAGGCATCTCTACCATTTCCAGACACCCTTTTTGTTCTGCTGCTTCGCTGCCCTACTGTAACCAGCCCTAATACAGTTAACACATTTAAAGCAATTTATTGAAAGAAGCTATTTGATCTGCAGTGGACACCGGGCAGAAGATGCAAGCTACAACTTGTACTCTTCATTCTGTACCTTTTATAGAAAGGCAGCGTTCAAACATTTGTCAAAATTGCCTAGCAGCAAAATCACTTGCTGCCCACAAGCTAAAGCAGCTGGCTGTTTGGAGTAGTTGGTCTTGGCTCTCCTCTTTTTCACAAAAATAGCAAACAAAACTTGAGCAAAAACCTACCTGGCTTTGTAGCCTGCTGTCAGAGTCTTACATTCAGAAGTGCAAGTACAGAAGGGAAACGTCAACGTACCTTCAGCATCTTCTTATTCGCTGTGTTTTTGCCGCATTCTCGCCTTAGCTGCTCACTCATTGCTTGCAATTCTCTTCCAAAATGGATCATTCTTTCAATGGCTGCTTGACTGCCCCCACAAAGCTGACGTCTTAACTGGCTTGAATCAACTTCTGCAAGAACAACAAACCACCATCAGTAATGCTGTTTGGCTGCAAAAACCTAGAGCACTAAATTTATTATCAGTTAATTCTGTGGTATTCCCAGAGGAAACCAATTTAGAATTAGGATTATTGGCAAAATGTGGCTGCTGTATAGCATACAGCCAGGAAGCCAATTCAAATCAAGTTGCATTAGTTTAAGAACTGATGTTAACAGCACAAAACTTTGTCCAGATGCTCCTACCAGTTTATCTTGCTGTTTGGTAAATGGAATTTGATACGCTAAACTAAGCCAGGTCAAAGTCAGAGTCTAACCAGGGTTTTCCACTGGTTGTAACACAAATTCAGTTAAACTGATGCAAATTCAGCTGCTTACTAGACTATAGAGTAGATGGTAACAGAAAAGCCCAGATGCCTTTTTAATTCCTTGGCACTGCGCTGTGCATTTTTCAAGCATTTAACATTAGCACCTAGCATCACAAACCCTGAAATGCCAAACCTCTCTTTAACAGATCAGACAAAATTATGTAGTTGATACTGGAATTTAGGATTATTTCTAAACATTCTGTATCGCTCCATAAATATTAGGAATCTGTATGACCATTCAGAAAGAGAGAAAGATATTAAACCCAGGTTCAATTCCAGACTTTCAGGTGACAAAATGGGTTCTGGCTGAAGTCTTGTGTTGGGGGAGGGGAGCTTTGTAAAGCAGTATTAAATTTCTAGTTACAGCTTTCTACTTTCAGTAATTTTCATCAGGAGGCTGTTAGTGCACTTTATAAAATTAATCAACTCTTTAACATATTTGTCCAATAGGTATGATCCTCAATTTGCCTTTTTTTTTTTTTTTTAAAGACATAAACCCAAGGTTCAAGAGAAATTAACAGATTTTATCTTTGGATATAAAACCATCCTTTATGGCCTGCGCTTAACATGTCATTCATAACAGCTGTTTAGTACTTTTTAAAGTAGCACCTAACCTAGAAATAGTCAATTCACTAGAGGTAGCTTGGGTAATTAAGCACAAGCCTTATTAGAACAGATCGCTGCCTACTTCAGCCACATTTTCATATTCACAAAACACTAAGGCACGTTCAATGAATCAGACATGGTAAAGTAGTTCTCAAACTGTGGGGTGTAAAGTATTCTGGAGGAGTCACATTTCTTTTATAGAGGTTGAAGCGCCCACGAGTCTCCAAGCAGTGTTGTTTCTTGCCAGCTGCAGCCCAGTCTAGGACTCCGTTTTTCAGAGGCTGAAAACAATTGCATTAAAAAAAGCAGCAACTCTGCGTGCTGTGCAGCTGCTTCATGTCTGTCACAGCCAGCCTCTGTGGGAAAGGCTGCAAGAAAGTAAAGATGTGGGGATTTTTTTCTATCAGAGAAACCAGACCTTGTTATCATCATCCAGTTTCAGAAATGTAACACACAGGGCAATGCTACGGGAATTCAGATCATCTTCACTTGGGCCTGGGAACAGAAGCTCTGGGTTGACTTGAACAGCAGTTTACTGGGAAAGCTGAGGAACAGCCGTAACAAACACTCAGACCGTGGAAAAGTTTTGCATTAGTGATACGCTCGTCTCAGCCATCAATCAACTGGTCTGTTTAAGCAAAAGTCTTGCCTCCACAACAGGTGGGTCAGCAAACACAAGGAACCCATGGTCAAGCTGGACTTTTTCCTTTCATCTCACTAGCAATAAAAATTGCTGGGCAAAGTTATAGACTGTTTGCATCTGTGTAGCCCTGACTGCTTCCTGTCTAGTTGTACAGGTCCACTTACTTCATCCTCCAATTGAAATTCAGAGCGCTATTCCTTCTAGCTGTGCTAGCTCCAACAACTGGTTAAAAACTCATTTGTCATTAAAAGTCAGCAGGTTGTGTGTGATATAGAGGCTTCTTAAGAAGGCAGGGCTACACGAAGGCAAATGTGGAATATGAAGTTTCTTTAGCAGAAAGCAGAAACAAATTACTCTTATTCCTAGCTATCTCCACTGAAAATGACTTACACAGACTTTTGCCCAGTACTTTGGGCTCCTTGATACCAGCCATTCTAGACTGTCTGTTACTAATCAACTGGTATCAAATGGTCAAGGCACTACTGCTAACCTAAATGAACTAATGAAAGAAAGCACAGTGGTTTTCACCCAAAACCATATGCTTGGAAGTGGGTATATTTAAACATATCTATGTTCTACACCTCCACTTGTTTTCACATTAACTTCAAGCCAGATCAGCAAAGCAGTCACGATGCTCACACAATACTAGCGAAATACAGTTAAGATTTCAGTTACACCCCTAGTTTTCAATTTGGGAAGCATTGCAAGTAAAAACATAACCTTGTTGCCATCACTTAATAAAAATGTAAGAAATATCACTGCAGACCCATTTCTGTGTCACATTCTTCCATTTCGTGATCATGTTTAGAACTACCATTTAGGAAGCCATTGGATGATGTCTCTGCAACCCCATTGGAGTAGTGCTCTGTTTCCATGTCTACATCATTGCTGAGAAAAGGGAAGAGAAATACATTATCATCAAAATGACTCAAGTTTTCTTTGCAACTTTGCAACCTTATAAGAATTCTTCGCCTTGCCAAGTAAAAGCATATTTTAAGCCACGTGACTGCAGATTGGTTCTGGCTTGTGCGCACACTTGCCAGTGTCTGGAGCCGCTCCAGGAACCAGATCCAAATAAAGGTGGGCAAGGAAGGAAGTCAGGGTGGGCGGAGAGGGTAGGAAGAGCACAGACCTAGGGCAGAGGCAAGCAGCTGACCTTTCCCAGCCCTGGGGCTGAGTTCTGAACGTGAACAGACATTCTTTTGATCGGACTAACCCATTCCCAATCTAATATAGTGTGTTTCCTCAAGTGAACTAAATTAGATGAGGCCAGCCATTTTTTGCCTGATCTAACCTCCCCAAATGTCTGTACAAAATCGGCAAGCACACTCATTGGGTCACAGTGTAATAGCAAACCGTAATACAGTCACTTACTGTGAACACATATGAAATGCACCAAGTTAACAGCTAACAGGCTGAGAGGTTTAAAAACAAATTTACAATTGTATTTACATGTTTATAGCTGTACTTTGAATGAATGTCTGCATATTAAGAATTTCAGTGTAGGCTGTACACTTGGACATGTGGCAGGAAGTGCCCTTTCACTGCTACTGAGACAGTACACTTCCCAATTCTCTACTTCATTTATTCTGTGTGTATATTTATATAATTACACACATTTAAAAGGCAAAACAAGCATGAAGCCTACTTCAAGAATGCCAGCTTTAGGCAAATAATGCTGTTCTTTCAACAAGTCTGAATCCAGAGATTACTCATGCAGGCTGGAGAGCAGTACCAGAATAAAAGCAAAGCAAAGGGGAAAAAAGACTAAAAAATCCATTCTCCCAAAAGCAAGCACTGAATCCACAAAGAAATGCTAAAAAAAAAAAAAAGTGTTCAGAAAACATGAAGCACATGACTGCATGACAGATCTCTGCTCACAAAACTAGAAAAAAGCACTCTTTGAAAACTGCACATGCTCTGCTTGAATAGGCCTGAATGGCTTCCAGGACCAAAGCCTTAGCCAAACAGTAACAGCATATTCCAGCTCATTGTAACTTCAGTTGTGAAGATCACCATGTAACAAAATACAGCCTCTTTTTATTTTATTTATACACCTTCATCCATTTTAGGGCTAGAGAAAGATCCAGGTTACAAATTCCCAGTTTATTCCTAAAGAATACTCCGATCAGAAAGAAGAAAAACACAACCCTACTGTGAATGGAGTACAGTATAGCCAATAAGCTTCCTACATCTTACAAGATGCCCCCAAAAGTTGGCTAAGTTCACCAAGCCCTGTAGCAGTCAGTTTCTAAGAAAGTTACTCAACCCTCCCCCCTTGACACAAAAAAAGGGTTGAAAAATGCATTTTTTTCCCAAGTTCAACTTAAAATCTCAATAAGAAGGTATTGAAACCAGAGGGACATTTTTTTGGGTTCCAGAGGACCCACTATTAATCCAGAGTCGGCGAGAAATGGTTTTGGCTGTAATATTCTCATCTGACATGGGGTATTAGATTTGAGAGAGCAAGTATCCAGATTTTGAAGGGGGGGGGG